ACATGTAAATATTCATGCATGTAAGGCAAATCAAGATATTCAAATTTAACACAACATTTTCTCTAATATCTTATTTATTGCTATTATTTATTTATTTATTCAACGATCCTATCAGTAGACTAGACAACATAGAAATAAATAATACGATGATTAATAATGAATCGAAAAGGATCTGGAAGGAAAACATCGTGTCCTTCGTCTGGAAGGACCTAAGATCCCCATGAGATCATTCAAATATTATAACTCGACTGAGGACCGAAATTCTAATTCGAGTCCCCCCCGAACACGAAGCAGGAATTTTACCCACTCGACTCCTACGTCTGGCACCAAAATGTGTTACAGGGACCATGACAGAGACTGTAAAAGGCAAACTCCAGGCTTGAGCCTAAAATACATTTTTCCACGAATACAAATTTTAATTTCATTGAAGCAGATTTCCACTTCAGATGGAATATAAAACATGTTACGTGGATTCGAAATTTAAAATCTGTTAAATTGGACGTACTCAATCGCTGTACCGTTAAATTTAATTACCAATCATTAATTTTTGTTTAACAAACAGCTTAGGTTCTTAGGACATCACCAGTGAATTCCGTACGTGACAGTGAAATTCAGTTTACACTGCTCAAATTTCATCTTACACACGACCCTTGTTTACATAATATATGATTCTAACAATTCATAAAAAAAAATTTAATAATTTGGAATCAATTATATAATTTTACTACAAGTGTTCCAAATATATTTTATTCTTATTACTTTAAATATATTTTATTCAACTGTTATTATTTTTTATTTATTGTCATTTTTCTATTAATTACGTATTAATTTAATAACATGTTGACACTAGATTTAACTCGTCCAACATTCCAATTAAAACTCACGCCTTTTTCTGCATTTTCGGAAGTTATTTCACTTCAGCTCACTGTCTTTGCTGCCAACTCGATCACCGAACTGTGGTGGCGGCGTTGTAGGTCAGTAAAAAGACAATTGTAGCATTGTATCATTTCAATCACACATATAACTACGTATATTCTTTGTTACAATCATAAAATTGTTGAAATTTGACTACAGACAACAGGAAACGTCCACTTCGCTCCCCAAATTAAGCCATATATTAAATTTAAGTATCCCACTTACGTGTATAAAGAAATATGTTGCTTAGTCGTGTTTCCTGCTTACGTGAGAGTCCTGTCTTGTGACCAATATGCGCAATATTATCATGAATAACGCCTGTGAAACAAGGTTGCCAACTTACGTAAAATAATGATATTTCTAAGTTAAATAATACATTATTCGACAAATCCTTTGCATTCCTTATCAATCTTTAATGCCCAAAGCTCGTCAGAGGCATGACCATTAGACAAGTATCGTTTAATACTGCAAATAATTACCCCCAAAGCCAACATTTGTCTTCACTGTATCATCTACAGTAATTAGTTTAAAAGATATTGTTTCTTCCAGTTTCAATTTTGTGTAATCAAAAAATATTAATATAATTTATTAATATCATCACAAAATTTATATAATTTCACAATCCTCTGAACGTAGCAATAAACCTTCGAGTTTCCATGCGGTTATCAGCTTACAAACAACAGCTTTGCTTCAAGGAGTTATTCAAGTGCGTAACTCTTCGGAACCCTTAAGTGCACCACATTTTAATTTGACAGTCCGAGCACACAGTAGGTGACTCTGATACTGTGTCATCACAACTATCAAGGCGTGTCCAAGTCGCGTTTAGAAGCCAAACTAAAACAGGTTTCGGGCTGTTCGTGTTCTCGGTGGTATGTGCGCCTCTAGTAGAATACCATATGGCAATTAAACAACAGGAAACAAACAACCTGTTCCTTGCCAATCCATACCATTTCGTAATCCATAATAATCACAGAGCCCATGAGCGTCGGGGCGTGAGACATAAGGAAACAAAAAACAAACAACAAATATTTGGCTCCCAGCTTACAGACTGATCCACTTTCGCTGATTATATGTTTAACCCTTTAAAACCCAATTTTAACAAATTTTCCCTTTTTTCTTCAATAATCAATGGTTCCGCGTTTTATTTCTATGGATTCCTACGGTTTTAACTGTAAACAAGGATTATTTCATTAAAACGGCATTAATCTGACCTTCGTAACTGTGATGAGTTGTGTTTTCTTCGCGGTACGGACTGAATTCTTAAATATTATTTAAACGAGGTTCGGCTTCAAAATTGAAGGACGAGCGGGCACTGCCTGGGAACCTTCGTAGCCCACAACCAACTTTATACCCCTCCCCCATTTATAACAGTAGTGCCTATCGCTACTCCCCCCACTTTCTCTCTTCTCTCTCTCTCTTTTTTTTTCGGCTTCAAAAGATGAAACTGTAAATTAAGCTAAGATGTAAGACTGGCTAACTAAAATTAACCACAGTGAAGCAGTACCCTTCTTGAGAAGCTGATAATTGCTCAACCAGTCACAAAATTCCTCACTTAATAATGGAATCCTAATGTTCATTACCGTGTTCATAGAAGCCCGCCACTGGTCCGCCATTTCTCATTCAGGCTGCTAATTACTACGTGTCTACGTGTCGTCACGAACGAGTGACACCTCCATGTGGGCGGGAAAACTTAAAACCGGTTCGATTTTCGAATTGTTACAAGTGACAATTACCTTGGCTCACATATACCTGTCTCTCAAATCTAATCTCACAGTAGATTCGAGACCAAGCTTTAGGTCGAGGATCGTTTAAAGTCGTATAAAGATCGACTTAAGTGGTTGTAAAACTTCTTACATAACGTACTTTATTACATTAGAGATTTCACAGTGAATTTACATCAGCTCTCTAGATCCGGATGACAATAAATAATGTCTTACAGGAACAATAAAAATGAATGCGTAATTCTTTAGTATGAACAATTAAATTCTCAAGTGAAAAACTACTTCAAATTACTCATGAATGTCTTTTACTATTAAAAATAGTGCCGTTATCGGGTCCCCCCCTGACTGAATATGGAGCCCAATGATACGGAGCTCGAATGAACGTACATCCCATTGAAAATCTCTTATAGACTGCACTGGGCACAAACCCGAGTCTTCGTGATGAGAAACAGGTGACTAACCACCTGAGCTATGGCACGGTATTAAGTTGCTCTCTTGACTTAAACAAGTTCAAGTTTCCAAGACTGCGATCGTAACTGCTAAGTAATTTATTAAACCTCCACAGAGGTATTTACAGTTGATATAAAATATTATAAAAAATAATCAAACAATCCTTTCGAATTGATTGAAAAATAAACTGTAATAACACATCCTTAATAAACTCATAATTAATTTCAATTACGTGTTTATTCTGTCAGAATAATAAAATAACTAATAATATGGGACATGACGTGACCTTCGTGGGTTCTTGAATAGTCGTAGCGATATTGTGTGTTTATTAATCTAATAGAACTGTATTGAACTGCAGCCATCAATAAATAGATTAATATAGATTACGTGACATTCCAATCACTCTGTATAAAATTAAGTGCAAATGAGAAATTTAACGAGTCTTCCAATGAGACTTACGTGTCCTCGTTCTACATTCGACAGATCATACCAAATTACACAAGAATTAGGCCTGCTAGTATAAAGCTAACTACAACGTTAAATGAGATGATAAAGTTGCGTCATATTGTGATAAATATATATTTGTTTAAAACTTGTCAGTCTGATCACAATAAAATTCCTATTAAATATTAAAATATTAAAATATTACTATAATTAACATTTAAATATTTAAATGTCTGATCACAATAAAATTCCTATTAAATATTAAAATATTAAAATATTACTATAATTAACATTTAAATATTTAAATGTCTGATCACAATAAAATTCCTATTAAATATTAAAATATTAAAATATTACTATAATTAACATTTAAATATTTAAATGTCTGATCACAATAAAATTCCTATTAAATATTAAAATATTAAAATATTACTATAATTAACATTTAAATATTTAAATGTCTGATCACAATAAAATTCCTATTAAATATTAAAATATTAAAATATTACTATAATTAACATTTAAATATTTAAATGTCTGATCACAATAAAATTCCTATTAAATATTAAAATATTAAAATATTACTATAATTAACATTTAAATATTTAAATGTCTGATCACAATAAAATTCCTATTAAATATTAAAATATTAAAATATTACTATAATTAACATTTAAATATTTAAATGTCTGATCACAATAAAATTCCTATTAAATATTAAAATATTAAAATATTACTATAATTAACATTTAAATATTTAAATGTCTGATCACAATAAAATTCCTATTAAATATTAAAATATTAAAATATTACTATAATTAACATTTAAATATTTAAATGTCTGATCACAATAAAATTCCTATTAAATATTAAAATATTAAAATATTACTATAATTAACATTTAAATATTTAAATGTCTGATCACAATAAAATTCCTATTAAATATTAAAATATTAAAATATTACTATAATTAACATTTAAATATTTAAATGTCTGATCACAATAAAATTCCTATTAAATATTAAAATATTAAAATATTACTATAATTAACATTTAAATATTTAAATGTCTGATCACAATAAAATTCCTATTAAATATTAAAATATTAAAATATTACTATAATTAACATTTAAATATTTAAATGTCTGATCACAATAAAATTCCTATTAATAGAAAAATAAGAAATTAATGGAGGACCGAGAGTCAACCGATATTTAAACACCGCTTATTAGATCGGATATGCGCTCGCATAGATGGATTCTTCTGTTTGAATTTCAAGTCAATTAATTATTTCTGCTACGATATAGACAGCACTGCCCCAATCGTCCCAGAATCTGACAGACGGGACTGCGTGGACAGCGAGTCTATGGATCAAGACAGGAACTAATGCAATATTTATCTTTACATTTACAACTCTACAGAGACCGGTCCTTAATTTAACGCGATCCTCATGTTGTACTCTGCCTGCAGGATCCAACCAAGGATAGCCAAGTCCGGGGTTCCTGTAGGCTGCTACAGCCACCATGAACTCGCCGGTCGCCTTTCTGTCATTCCTTGTCTTCTGGTTCTGCGGGCCATCAGACGCCATCAGAGTACCCGTCTCCTACGATGACCCGCGTGAGTATAACTCGTCTTCTACGAGATTAAGGATCACGTCAGCGGCAATTATGAATATGGCTGTCTTCTGGGGTGCTGCGCCGTGTAAACTGTCGACGTTTAAGAGGTGGTTCTGCCTCCGACAAAAGGAAAATCGTCCTGATGACGGAGGCAGTAAGCGCTTCCGAAACATCGGTAAATTTCTATGGCACGGGGCAACATCCCAGAAGACAAGAACCTGAAATCTTATGCAACATCAATTTTTTTTCCTTTTCTATCTCAGTTTTAACTTTATATGTCCTGTGTGGTTTGCAGCGAGATCTTGCCCTGGGCCTGCTCCCACCAAAGTGCTGTTGTGTTACTACGAGGGTCGTCTTGCCCTAGAGAAGCTAGACCCGTGTGTCTGTTCTCATCTTGTCTTCACTTCTGCAGCCACCATTAACCCCAACAACTACACCCTCAACCTCACTACAGGTAAGCACAAGAAACAACTACGCTGTTGACCTCACCCCAATAACATTTGGTGATTGGAACAAATTGAGGCAACTTTTGTGTAATTTTCTCGAGTCGCCTATTTTTTTTTGCTCTCTTGTATCCAAACGTTCTCTCAGCATCCATCTTTTGAAAAGTTCTCAACATACGTTCTTCCCTTTGGGTGACAGACAAAATTTCTATCACAACTATCGGACAAAAATAAATTATGAAAGCGATTCACTGCTCACGACAAGACTGAACTGTCAATAAATTCGGGTGAAACTTCCTGGCCTAACTTCAACTATGAGACTCAGTTCTGATTGCCAACTAAGAAGGACCAACCGACAATTTGGACAGCCATCATCTATCACTTTCGCTCATGGGCCAAAACGAACACTGCAGATTCACGTCACGTGTATGAATGCTAATCTCACATATCACTTCCGGATTAGCATCTGAAATAGCGAGTCTATTTCTTTCTTTTTTCACTATAAAATAATTTCTAATACTATAAACCCACCATCTGAATTTACACATACCATATATTAAATCGAAGATTAAAAATAACAACAGTATTTTAAAAAGCGTACAAGATTATACTTAATTCAACTGAGTAAGCTTATTCGAGTTTTTCACATACGTTTGGTGTGACCTCGCACGCTTAATTTAAATTGATGTTTATTTATTGCAGATACAAATAAATATCTCTTATATAGATATCACTCCGCAGAGTAAAAAAAATATTTTTCCTTGCATTTCTTGAAATATTCGGAAACATTTCTAAGTCTTCCAAAAAAAATCTATGTTTCAATAATGTATTTACGTATTTTTTTAAGCAGATGGTGTGTACGGCTACTATTAGAATTTAAATTGTCAAAGAAGACGGTAATAGCTAAGATTGTCTGAGCTAGATAAACATAGCAGCATTTTAAGAACGGGATTCAAACCATGACCTCCACAGTCACTGCATAATAGTGAGCACTTGTAAGACCTTATTTGCCTCAGGTCTGCATTAATCAGAATGAGATCTGAGTCACTTAGCGTAAGTCGAGATACCTTACAGCAACATTCTCCCCTTCCACAATTCTCCATTACCATTTATCTCAATATTCATCGTTCGACGTTCTATGTACATATATAATTCGACCTTCCATCTTCGCGAATGGCGCCCAATGACGTCACAGTTGTCTCGACGGTCCCAGTTTCCCCACGTAATCGTGTTCTACAGTAAAGATTCTTGTGTTGTGGTCGGTCACTTTACAAACATTAATTAAATATACATTTTTTTGTCATTTTGACACTTTTAGGTTCGTAATTGTTACAGACATAAATATTACGTTCGTTTTAGGTCAAGGGGCTAGAAAGACGTGTTAATAATACGAACGAAGGGCAGGTAACAATCGTGGTCTGTGGTACAACCCGTAAAGATAAGATTCATAAAACAACAAAGACATCGGCTATTTATCTCCCTTTTCGAAAAATAAAATCGGTCTTTCGAGCGCAGATACTGAACTACGCTGATTTACATTCTGCAGCGAGGTACATCATAACCGAACGATTTCGAGATTTAACTTTACCTTTCGCATGAAATCAAACACAGATACACTTACCCTTTAAAAACAATGTAAAATAAATGTACCACCTTTTATAACAATAAATAATTGTTTATTTTCCTCGCAAGGTTTGTTTATGGAATTTGTATCTTAAGTGCGTCATGTTTGTGTTGAATCAAATACATATATTTATTTTACAGTCTATACACAAACTTATTTTAAAATAATGTTGTTAAAATTAAATTATATTTTATATTTACAATCATATTAATATTTATTTATTTCCTATGTCAATTCCATACTCATTTGCATAATAACACTTGGAAATTAATTCCACAGATAATGAACATCTAAATACAGACACCAGATCATTATGAAGACGGAAAATTCTACAAACATACTAAAAGATCAATAAATGCAATGCATCAAAAATGTATAATAGTTTTTAAAATAATACAGATTGATAAACCTGAAGATGATGTCATAAAACATCGAAACATGTCGTCCAAAAACAAAAATAAAAGCGCTGAATAATGTAATGTCGTACTACGATAAAGGAGCGCCATAAATATAACATAATATACTTTATACTGTAAATGTTATAATATTTTAACAACATTATTTTAAATAAGTTTGTGTATAGACTGTAAAATAAATATATGTATTTGA